AACCAGAACATTTAAAAGACATTTCCTTCAGATATGAAAATGTTTAGAAGTGAATGCATACTGGTAGAGCTCCTTCCCTAGGTTCAACAGCTGTCTGTTTGGCAGGTTGCTTTGAAGTTATTTTCTCACTACCGTTTGAGTAAGCTGCAGAGCTGCTGACACGACACTCGTGACCACTTCAGTCTGTACCCCCGACAGTGAGGACAGTCTCCTCCGTCACAGCCCACCCTGTACTGGGCAGATCCACGTCATTCCGCCTTGTCCAGGCGCACTCTGAGCTCCATTCCTCCTGCTGCCCCTCACGTCTTCTTCGGGTTCAATTTTGGGTTTGGAATAAGGATCCGATCTAGATTTACTCCCTGTATTTAACTGGTATGTCTTTTTAAACTAGAAGCATTTTTGATTTATAAATAATTCAAGGGCCTAACCTAAAACCAGACCTTTACTTTTTGTAACAGAGTGGCCCGTGCACTTTTGCCAAGGTCTTTCCAATATTACAAAGAAAGGAGTCATTAGTGAGAGAAGCTGCTTTCTCCAATGAAAGCTGTCCAGCTGGGGGCACACACCACTCCCCATCGCTGGGGAGGGGAGGCTCCGCCTGTGAGGCTCAGAGGGAGGGTGGCATCTTGGGCGGCTTCTTATGAGCATGGCAGGCACCATCCCACTGACCAAGCAGTCAGCTAAGAAATATGCAGACAGCTATTATTTGAAATAACTTTCTTTTCAGTCTACCAGGACTGACTGATGCTTGCTCTAGATACGATGCTGGATGCCTGAGGTAGCTTGAGCTCCAGTGACTGTCCTCAGGATGCTCCTGTTTTTGTGGAGAAGATAAGAAAGTTAAGGTGAGGCCTGGCAGACCTGGACAGGGAAGTGCGACAGTGGAGGTCCACATGGAAACCTCTAACAAGCTCCTGCTCAGAAGGCAGGCAAGTGCTGACTCCATGTGCCCACACAGGGTCCATGGTACAGAAAGCAGTGAGACTCTGGAGGTCCACAGGATGAGCTCACTCTCACCAGCACCTCTCCACACTGCGACCGGCAGCCTCAGAGTGAGAGCAGGGACAGAAGGGCAAAGCCTTGGGCCCACACCTAAGGGTGCTCAATCAGTGCTGGTTCTCCCTCTGGGACAGCCACCAGCAGAGCTCTGAGGGTAGCACCCCTGGCCTGAGCCTCCAGGCTGGGTGACCTTGGGGAGGAGACACACCAGGACTTGTCCCACTCACCCTGTAGGCAGGAGTGCTGAGAAACCAAAGAGTTAGCATTCACAAAAGTTCCTTGCGCTTGGCAAAGTGCTCTAGGATTAACAGAGAACAATTATGCTTGACGTGCGGGATCAGAAGCAGCACATACCCCGAACCACTGTGTCCCACAACCTTTCCTTGACAAACAACCTTACCTCTCCTTCTTTCTCTCATTCTTCTTTACAATTAACAGATGGGAGGCAGCTTTTGCTGTGAGGTAAAACTCATGAGCAGACATCATGCCCAAGTTTAAGGGCAGGACTAATTAAGAAAAATTAGTAGACTTCACATCCCTCTTCCCCGAGGGCTGGTACTCTGGTTACCTTGCACACTGCCAGGAACACAAACACACTTTCACACGCAGGGTCACTACTGCTAATATGTGCGTGTACTTCTGAAGTCACTGCTGAGAGAGCTGCAGTCACAGCAGGTAGATATCTGTGAAGCACACATCTTGAGCTGATGCACTACTTAAGACAGCGAAAGACAGTCTTTTGCTTTGGGTTATCATCTGAACACCTCACTGACTCCACGTCTGCAGGTGTGTCTGAGCTCTGGGCCTGGTGCTCTGTGTACCGTTACTGTCAGTGCTGGGGAAAGCCACAGACACAGGGGAAGGCGAGCTGGGCGTGGACCTCTTCACACGTCTCCTGCATGCTTTTCTCTAAACTTTATCAGAAAGGTGAAGATCAACCAACTGGCGACTCAGCAAGTACTTGTGAGAAAACAAAAGTTCCCATAATTAGACCTCCACGTCCCAAGGAGAAAATGGGCTTCCCACCAGACTTTCAAACACTTACCAACCAGGGAAGTTGACGGGTGACTAGAACAAGGTGAGAGCAGTTAACTGGAAGAGGTTCCAAGCTGCATGGTTCCTCTCCGGGCCATTAACATCTTTCCAGTGCAGCTGACCCTGCCTTAAATGCAGCTCCTGAAGTGGGTGGGTGTGAGCTCCAGGGTGGGAGGAGGCCTGGCCACCAACCACAAGGACAGAGAGGCAGTGCTGGGAGCCTCCAGGAAACTGCTTAAAAAGTCAAGGATTGGCCTAGAACAGGGTCAGTAACCCATGGGTCATGGGCCAAATCCAGCTCCACCTGTCTTTGTAAATAAAACTTTATCGGACCACAGATATGCACATTCATTTACTGCCTATGGCTGCTTTGGCTCAAGAGCCAAAAATATTTACAATCCAGCCCTTTTCCAAAAGTTTGGCAATTCCAGTCTAGAACCATGCTATTCAGTACAGTAACCCTAAACACGCGTGTCCATTTAAGTTCAAAATAACTAAGAGTAAAATCCAGCCTCCAGCTGCACTCTCTACGTGCTCGCCACAGTCAGTGTGGTCAGTGGTCAGGGCAGCAGACAACACAGAGAACACCCCCAGCACTGCAGACAGTGAGTGCTCATGGACAGAGCTGGAAATGCAGGATTTAAGCCACCGAGCTAAATTTACAGCCATCAGGCTCCCAGTCACACTCTCTCCCTCCACAGACAGGAAAGTCTGCACGAGGCTAAAGCAGATGTCTTTCACCCTTCAACTTTTCAGGATATGCCAACCGCCATGCTAATCACAAGCTCACAGCTACTTGGTAGGCAGTAACTATCCTGTGGTTTCAACTGGGACCACGTGTCAGTTTAGCGACTGTATTTATTCCTTTGTTTGCTTGACTGTCCCCAGCCCCTGGCCCAGGGACTGTAAACTCTGAAGGCCAGGCACGTCACAGGCTTGTTCCCTTGCTCTGCTTCCAGGTTAGGATCCCGCCCAGCACATAGTACTGCTCAACAAATACGGTATCTGTGCTGTAAATCCAATAAAAAATGAACCCTGGTGCAAAACTGTCATGCGCCAAGGGGCCACTGAATCAAACAGATGATAGGGCAATGGGGGAACCTTCCTGCAAAATGTTCTACAGGCACAATTTATGTTTTAAAATGTGTTACAAAAAAAGAAAAGGATTCCAAACAAAACAAAGCAAAAAACCAGTCTGGGTGTGGATTCCACTTAAGGGCTGTGTGACCTTGGGGAGCTGTTTTCCCTCCCCAGTGAGGGACCCCTCCTAGAGGCCAAGCCCTCTCTTGTCCCTCTCATTACCAGCCCATCAGCCCCTGCTTTCTCCAGAGCCCCTGCCCAGGGGGCTCCTCCTCCGTCCCTCCTAGCAGGCTGAGTCTCTTGAGCTGCATCAGTTGCTCCTTCGAGGTAGGGGGTTTTAATGGCCCTCAGTGCTTGGCACACAGAAGCTGCTAAGGGGAGGTTAAATTCACTAAGAATCTAAGAGCTCAATAAATAAAATACATTTTGCTAAACCTCACATTTATGTGCTTGCTCTAAGAAGTCCTTATAAGTGAACCAAACTTTGACTTTTGAAATTAGAAACTATCCACACTGTTTGAGGTAGAAGTCAGTCCTATGTCCTAAAGGTTAATACCTTACAAACTCGTCTTTGTCAGGTTAATATACTTTACTATATTTCCTTTCACAATTATATAGTGAACAGCCAACAGGGAAAAAAATCCAACTGGGCATAATAAGGTCTTGGGATTAAGAAGAAGTTTTGTATCTGATACAAAAACCAAATGATTCTATTTCAGAATAAATTCATAATTAAAAGAATACATTAACTGTTTAATAAAAACCAGTAGACTCACAATCCAAAGAGTTGCTATTTATAAGGCCCCTTAAATGTATACAAATTTACATTTTATATGAAATCAAATTATTTTACTGCTAACTAGTTAATGTCTGACAATTCCCACTGGGGTCCTGAAGCTAAACACCTAATACTATCTGTAGTCAGCCTTCATGAATCTCCCTGGGCACACAACCAAACAACAAAGTCATGGCCTGCCCTACAATTTGGTCAAGGTAGATGTTGATTTCTGCCTGCTTTGTCCAAGGGATTTTAGAGAGAAAAGCAGAACGAGTTTTCTTATGACAGACTGGGTATTCATGTGCTTCTATCTTCCTGAGCACACCCTAGGGTCTGCAAAGTCTTGTCCGGCATTTCAGTCACAGGGGCTGTTAGTCAGCTAGAGGTCCTGCCCCCACCCTACCTTGACATGGGTCCGTACAGGAGACTGTGCTAGGGAAAACTGTCCTGTTAAGGCACAGTTGTGATATGACACGTTTTTAAGTGATTTGATGAAGCTTAGCATCCATTTTCTCTTTTACCCTATAATGAACAAAAGTTTACATAACAAATATCTTAAAATACCCACCAAAAATAAGTATGTATTATCCTGATAGCTACAGTTTAATATAACTAATAGTAACTGTGTTTTACAGCTAAATTTCAAACCCCAAATGCATATAAACTGTAAGAGGCAAGGTAATTATTAAAACAATGATCTATATACACACTGAAAACTTGTTGCCATTTAAAATTTTAATGCCATGGCACACAGAGCCATGTACATGTAGAATATTCCCTAATAGTCTGTGAAAACACTAACATTTAAGAAGCACGATCCCCAATCGATTTCAGTATTTCGAGCCATGAGCACATTTCTCTTTCCTTCTGCAGGGAGGAAGACCCTTGTAAATGAGGCTCTTTTCTAATCGGTTCTGCATATTTTCTGACTGCAATTCATCTTTAATTCAGAGACATGTGCCCAGCAAAATCTTTGCAGCTTTAAGCAACACGATGTAACCGAAACTCAGCGTGCAGGTAACTTGGCCAGGCCCGGCCGCCCGCCTGCCTCCCTCCTGCCCACCCAATACCTCCCGGCAGTGACTTCACATCCTCTGACATCAGCACAGGTCCAAAAGGGGGATGGGAGGGCGAGCAGAAAGCAGAAAAACCAGCTTTGAACGATGCATGCAAGGCCTCTCAAGCCTCAAATCCCGTAAGTAGTCCGCAAACGCCGGCCGGCAGCGGCACTCCCCACCTGCTCTGGTTACGTCTGCGGCGTAGTGGGGTGAACTGTGCGGAAGGGACTTCCTGCTTTTCCTCTCTGAAGCACAATAGCCATTTATTAACCACCCACGGAAGGCTCCGGTGCGGGGAACACACAATAACTCACCTCGAATATGGAGCAGGGCCACGGGCTGGAAAGGCCCATTGGAGTTGGCCGCATCCACCACCATCCCGCTGCCCGCCTTGTTACATGTCAACATCTAGACTCCAGCGGGAAAGGCAGTGTACCCCTTAAGGCAACAAACCAGCCTCCATTTTAGTTTTAAAAAAAGACAAACTGAAGCTCTCTGCAGCTGGAGGGAACTGGCTGGTTCGTGATGTCAGCGGGCACAGAGCTCTCTGATTGGCCGGAAGCTGCAACTTAAAATGACACTGAAAAAAACTGCAAACGGAAAAAGCGTTCTGTTTGGCTGTCAGTGTGCATTAAAAACCTGGGCATTTTCAGGCTTTCTGCAGGCTTCATTTCTCAGTAACTTTGAGGCAAAGATCCCATCTCTCAGGGGACAGAGCTGGAGGCCACAGGCCCCCAGCTAGACTAAACAAATGCCTCAGAACTACAAAAAAAAGAAAGAGGAAAAGAAAAAAAAAAACATGTGCACATATGTTCTTCATGAACCTTACATTTTAGCACTTCCCGGGCCGGTACCCCAAATTCAGTGATAGCCACCCACTTGTCAACCTTCTACTTTCTAGAAGTTTTTTTTTGTTTTTTGTTTTGGTACTGGGGATCGAACTTGGGACCTTGTGCTTGTGCAGCAGGCGCCGGAAACCACTGAGCTAACTCCCCGGCCCAACCTTCTACTTTCTAGTTCTACTTAGTGTCATATCTGCACCATTCTCACAACCCAGATTTGTTTTGTGTGTTTTTAAAAGCAAATGACCATTTAAATATTACACAATTCAAATTCATTAGTTTGGACTTCTGTTCAACTTCCACTATCAGTAGTGCAAATTAACGAGTTTAGAATCCTCAAACCATTTTTTTTCCTGAGACCTAGGTTTTCTGGAAAAAATAAATTAAATAAATTACATGGAAAATGAAGACTGCTTTATAGTCAGTAGCTAGAAAGTGCTACAAACTATACCACATGGCCTTTGAAGTGCAAAAGGGATAAAGTGAAAAGCAGTGGATACTTCTGTGAACTTAAAGATGTCACTGTATTAGGTATTTTAAGTTTTAGATACTTTGTTTAAAGGTAAGATATTTCACCTATTTTTTATTAGGCTATTATTAAAAGTGACTACTCACTGGAGGCTGAGGCAGAAGGATAGCAAGTTCCAGGATGGCCTGGGCAAGTTAGCGAAGCTTTGTCTCAATATAAAAAAAATTAAAAAGGGCTGCAGATGTAGCTCAGTAGTAGAGTGCTTACCTAGCATGTGCAAGGCCCTAGGCTCAATTTCCTGCATCACAACACGAATAAAGTAAAAGCTACTGTTCAGATCTTAGTTTTCTATCTTCAGAAGAGGTCAATGTAAAAAGCTATTCCAAGGGGAAGGGCATCAGATCTGGAGAACTGGAAGAGTGGTGGTGAGAAGATTCCCTCCGAAAGGAAACATTCCTGCTAGCTCCAAATGAGAACAAATAAAAGACAGGAAAACTCTGTTTGGCAGAATTGAAAACAGTTCTTCACAAAGTTTTCCTGAACGGTGGCTCCTTTTCTATAACTTCTCGCCTATGCCCCACCTGCTTGGTGTGTGTGGCAACACAAAGGCCTGGACTCCTCCACATGGTCGCCCGTGGGAGAACACCAACACAGGCCGTGTGATGCCCCTGGCCTGGGCTCGCACAGCTCAGTGAGTGGATGAGTCCTCCTCACCGTGAGCAGGCAGATTCGGTGTCAATGGCTGCTACCACGAGCGGAAGGAAAGAAAGCACAGTGAACCCCACTGTGCTGAAGGAGGGCAGGAGTCTGCGCCGGCTGGCTGGAAGACAGTTTCCCCCAAGCCTGGGGGAGTGCATCTGACCGACCTCTCTCCTGCCCTGCCAGGGCTGCGGGCCTCACACCTGGCTGGCTGCACTGCTACCCGAATAGGAGAAGAGTTAAACACAAAGGGCTTGGGTGATGACACATTATCGGAGGATGTGAATTTAGCCTCCAGCTTCCCACTTGGGTCAGAGACGTCTCTACCAACCCCTGGCCTGTGTCTGTCAGGAGAGGACACAGGCCCCCAACCAGTGCCACCAAGCAGTGCTGAGGGTGATGCTGAATCTCACTTCTGCTCACTGACACCTCCTCATCACCGAGTAACACGAGGTGAGCTCGGACCCCATCAGGGCCAGGTGCTCAGGGGCTCCAAGGGTCACCAAGCAGATGCCTGCTGGGTTTGTGCTTTACAGAGGGAGGCCTGCCCACCGCACACTCAGTATTTCGTGTGAGTGAGGTGGAAGAAGTGCCTGTCCTAGGGCTGCGCTGAGCTGGGACATAGAGACAGGGAGAGACTCTTAGAGCTTTGTATAAAATACACAGATCAGGAAGTGAAGAAAAAATGAAGTCACTTTTTGATGTATTTTTCCTAATGATCTCAGATCAAAAGATCTCAACTTTATCAGTGACTTCCCCCATGCTCTTCTGAAACCCTATGCATATAAAGTAGTTCTTTAAAGAACTCTTCAGACTGTGATCTGGAGATCACTGATAAAATATATGCTAAAATTAAAATAAACAGAGAAAGTAAAAAGATGAACAAATAAATAGAAGGTATACTTCTGAACTGAAAGCAAATATCCTGTAAATTTGCTGTTATGTTTTTCTAAAATAATTTATACATTTAAAGTATTTCCTATCAAAATTCAGGTGAGCCTCCTTATTTTTCTAGGTAACTGACAAAGTCATTCTAAACCTCACCCGGAGAAATACAAAGCAAGAATAAGAATACATCTAGTGAGAAAGGGAAGTGCTACCCTAAAACTATACGAACAAATGACAGTGGCACTGGTCGTAAGAGGCAGAGCAAGGGAACAGAAGCCACAGCCCTATGTCAATATTCACTTTTGGGCTGGGGACTTAGCTCAGTTGTGCCAGCGCCTGCCTCACAAGCGCAAGGATTAGAGGTCTCATTTGACCCAGCTATTCCCCTGTTGGTTATCTTCCCAAAAGAATTAAAAGCATCATACCACAGCGATATATGCACACCCATGTTTATAGCAGCACAGTTTGTAATAGCTAAATCTTGTAAACAACCCAAATGTCAATTAACTGGTGACTGGATAAAGAAGATGTGTTTAAAAAAAATTTTTATAAAATGGAGTACTACTCAGCCATAAAGAATGAGAAACGAGACATTTATAGCTAAATGGATGCACATTGAGACCATACTTTTTTTTTTTTGTACCAGGGATCAAACTCAGGTCCTTGCGCTTGCGCAGCAGGCGGCAAAACCACTGAGCTAAATCCCCGGACCCTGAATAATAATTTTTTTTTTTAATGAAAAAAAAAAAAGAATGATCCCAAATCAGTGGAAAAGCTGAAGAAGTAGACAATGGCCAACTCTCTTGGGGAAGACAACTGTTACTTACGGGTGTAGGGGGCGACTGAAGTCTTTTTACCTCACACTAAATAAAACTGGAAGTGCATTAAACAGGTAACTAAGAAACAGATCCTAACCACTCCCCTAAGTCCTCACAGCCTTCAGAAGAAAAGGTGAGTGAGTATCCATGCTCAAGCTAGAAAAGGACATTTAAAGACACCAAATTCCTAAGGGATATTGCTCACACTAAAAAATTACAAATTTCTGTACGTTCTCTCCAAAAACCGAAGAAAATATAAATGCTGTAAGTACAAGACATTAACATCACTGCAACTAACTAGAAAAACATCCAGCTCTCAGGGTCTAAATGGTCCAGTTCACAAAAGAACTATAAGTGACTAATAACTCCATGAAAAAGTGTTTTTCACCAGTCAGACCAACAGTAACGTCAGGTGCTAAGCAGCACTGGTGAAGGTACAATGAGCTAATCCTGTCTGAGCCCTTCAGTCATCTGGCAGTATACACTGAGATTCTGTGTCTAAGTAATCTTACTTCTTGGAATCCATTCTGGAAACGTGATAGTCATGAGGGAGCATCACTTTTTATGTGTGTGTGTGGTACTGGAGATCGAACTCAGGACCTTGCGCTTGTGAGGCAGGTGGCGACACCACTGAGTTAAATCCCTGGCCCCTGGAGCATCTCTTTTAAAAAATGTTTACTGTAGGGGCTGGGGATTTAGCTCAGTGGTGCCACCGCCTGCCTCACAAGAGTAAGGACCTGAGTTCAATCCCCGATACAAAAAAAGAAAAAATTTATTGTATGCAGGCACCTGTAGTCGCAGCTATTCAAGAGGCCAATGCAGGAGGATCTCAAGTTTGAGGCCAGCCTGGGGAGCTCAGAGACACTGTCTCTTAGCTGGGAATAGTGCTCTGGTGGTAGAGTGTCCCTGGGTTTGATCCCTAGCACCATAAACAAAAAATCCCCAATTTAAATTGTGCTAAAATACAACATATAAAATTTACAATCATAACCACTTTAAAGCATATAGTTCAGTGGCAGTAAGTACATTCATGTCCCTGCTTTCAATTGTTTTGGGTATACACCCATTAGGAGAATTGCTGGATCATATGATAATTCCACTTTGAACTTTTTAAAAACTGTCACATTGTTTAAAACAGTGGTTGTACCATTTTACATTCCTCTCAACCGTGCACAGAGTTCCAATTTCTCTACACACCTAACACCACTTATTACTTCCTACATTTTACAGTAGCCTTCTTAATGAATGTGAACTACTTCATTGTAATTTTGATTTGTATTTCCTTAGTGATTAGTATTGTTGGCTTCTTTGCATGGGCTTACTGGCTGTCTGTTTATATTCTTTGCAGAAATTTCTATTTAAGTCATTTAGACATTTTTTTAAATCAAGTTTTTGTTATTGCTGAGTTTGTTATTGTTGCAGTTTTTAATATAGCCTGGATATTAATCCTTTATGAGATTCATGATTTGTAAAAATGTATTCCATTCTGTGACTTCATTTTGTTGACTGTGTCCTTTCAGGAAACAAAGTTTTATATTCTGACTTAAGTCCAATTTATCTATTAGTTTTGTTGCCTGTGTCTGTGCCAAATCTGATGTCACAAAGTTTATCCTGCTATATTTTAAGAGTTTTTTGGTTTTACTTTTTTTTTGGTACTGTGTAGTGAACCTATGGCCTTCACACTACATCCCACCCCTTTTTAAACTTTTAAATTTATTTTTATATTTTTCTCAATCCTTCTATATCTACCTATTCATCTCTCTATCTACTCACACTTATTTTGAGGCGAGATCTTGCCACGTAGTTCAGGTTGGCCTGTTAACTCACTTTGGAGCCCAGGGTGGCCTTGAACTCAGAGCCATCCTTCTGCTTCAGTCTCCTGAATGCTGAGATTACAGGTGTGTGCCACCAAGCCCGACAATTTTTTTTTTTTTTTGAGACAGGGTCTTGCTAAATTGCTAAGTTACCCAGGCTGAGCTTGAACACAGTGCTGGGATTCTGGGACTGCAGGCATGTGCCACCATGCTCAGCCAGTTTTAATTCTTAGTGTTTAAGAATCTGATGTATTCTGAGTCAACTTTTGTATGTAATGTAAGGATCTGGCTTCCCTCTTTTTCATGTGAACATCCAGGTTTCCCACACCGTCTGCAGACTCGCCTTACTGCACACACAGGCTTGCTTTCTGGACTCTTCCCCTGCACCACGGGTCTGTAAGGATGGCGTCTCCGTGATACTCTAAGTGGTCAATGTCAACATCACAGTTTTCTTGATTACTGTAGCTGTGTTATAAATTTTAAAACCAAAAAAATGTGAGTTCTCCACTTCTGTTCTCCCCTTGGGACTCCCTATGAATTTTAGAATGGATTTTTCTATTTCTGGAAAAATCATTGGGATTTGTATTGCAGTGAATCTGTAGGTCACTTGGGAAGTATTGACATCTTAACAACATTAGGCCTCCCATCTACGAATGCAGATGTCTTTCTGTTGCAGGTGCCTTTCTTAATTTCTCTCAGGAGCACTTTCGTAGTTTTTAGGGTACAAATCTTTGAACTCCTTGGTCAGTTCATTCTTAAGTATTTTATTTTATTTTTTTGAGAATATCACATTTTATTTATGGTTCTAAAACATTTAAGGTTCTAAAAACCACCTTAATGTCAAAGGGGTTTAACTCTCCATCAAAAATGGAAATATAAGTGAAAACGGCAGCATAGAATTTTTCAGAAAGTTTATCAGAAGAAGAATCAATCCCAAATTATCAACAAGAATCACTGTTAAGCGGTATGGTTACATATGATTTTTCTTTTAGAAATTTCCCTATGTTTTTCAACACTTCCAAAATAGTATGTTTCTTTCATGAGACTTAAAAGAAACATTTTTTAAAAAAAGGAGTACGCGTTGATTTAGTTACAGCAGGAAGAACCCCTGAACAAATGCTGCCTCGGAGGTGTAAGCTAAGAGCAGGGAAAGGGCTATGACCAAAACCAGGGAAATCTGATACAGAAGACTTATTGTGGTGGGTGAATGAGATCACGTACGCAAAAACACACAAACAGAATGGCGGAGAGGAGTTTGGAATTTAGGATGTGGACGCCCTGCCTCACAGTCAGTTATGAACTGCCTCAAATGTTCCTGGCGTACTCACCACCTACGCCTGGAGTCTCCGTGCCCCTCTCGGAGATCCGGGTTCAGCTGGTCTCTGGAGCACAGCTTTCTGCCCTGTGGAACACATGACTCCACTAACCAGAGCTCCAGCCAGCAGAGCGCGTGCAGGGTGGAGTGCATGGCATCACTCGGACAGTGCTGCTGTTCACCAACCTCGTACTGGAGAGATCCCCGCAGTACAAGGTCGAGGGACAGCCAGGCAAGAGGCCTCCTCTAGGCTGAACCCTCTGGGCAGCCTTCTCCCTGCCTCCTTGTTGGGCTCAGCAAGCGTGCAGACCTGAGCTCCTACTGTGCCTGGCACTGGGAGGTGCTCTGTCAGAGAGCGGAGCAGTGCACAAGTGGATGAAGGAACTGTGCAGCAACACCCAATCTGATCTTTTTGTTTTGTTCTTTGTTCTGTTTTGAGACAGGGTCTTGACATGTAGTTCAGGCTGGTCTTAAATTCACTATGTAGCCCAGGCGATCCTCCTGCTTCAGTCTCCTGAGTGCTGAGATTACAGATGTGCACCATCATGCCCAGCCGATCTGATCTTTAAAACCATGTTTTCTGTCTCCTTCCCTGGAGGGTTTGACTATGAGGGATGTGCCACGGAAGCTTCTGGAGAGCAGCATTTCCCGTGGCCCTCACGTACACCCCGTTCCGTGCCCCCCACCTCTACAGCTGTCTCACAGTGACGCCTTCCAGGGAAAGCATACGCAGGATCACCTGGATCTCTCCGTGCACCCTCCCAGCAAACACCAGGACAGTGAGTTACACCCAGAAAGGAGTTATCCTCTTCCTTGGGTTCCTCCATCACTGTTTTCTTCTCTACTTGAAAGCAAACTGCCTGTAAAGACAGCCCACTAACTGTATTTAGAAGTGGTATTTCTGAATTAAAATTTCAAACTTCATTTCTAAGTTGAGCTAAACGTTTTCTTTATCTCCCCCAAATTCACAGGCAAATTAAAATATGCTTCTATTTTAGTAAAGAAGCTTCACAGCAATTAACAGAATGTTGGGTTTTTGAACTTAGAGATCTGTGGCACTAGACCCAGTGTGCTGACCTCGGGCTGGCCAGCCCTGTTTTGCAAAAACACTGGAAACTACGTGAGTCTGGGTGATGTGTTTTGTTGAGTAAGAAATCTAACCTTAAAAAACTGGCTTCACTTGTGGTTTAAAATAGACTTTTTCCTTAGATAGATCAAAGGACCTAACATTCAGCTATGTACAAAGACTGCCAGGGAATATCTGCTTGGCAACAGGAAGGACAAAGGGAGAGGGCTTGGTGACCCTGTTGATTTGAGTGGGTCCTGTGAGTGATTAAAAAGCAACAGTTGGCTGGGGATTTAGCTCAGTAGTTCCACCGCCTGCCTCAAAAGCGCAAGGTCCTGAGTTCGATCCCCTGTACTAAAAAACAACAACAATCAAGCTGATCCACGGGAGCTCAGCACAGGTAGGTGAAGCAGAACTTTCCCTGGTCCTGGGCCGGGGTCTGGGCTCACTTTTCCACCCACTGCAGCTGGGCTGTGAAATCTTTTGCACCAACGTGAGTGTCCCTTCCCTGGCTTTGGAGAAGGGAGGACATCCACACAAAGTATGTAAGTCCACATGCATCCAGGAGCATCCATGCCAACCATCTTGTTTAATCTGCCTACACTCTTACCAATCCTACAGCAGGTCAACTGACAATAGACCTCACTTTTGAAGAAGACATTGAGGTGGCAAGGTGACACCTGAGCCATCTCTGGAGACTGACAGGACTGGGTCAGGACAGGCAGAGGTCCCAGAGGCTTTTAATTCCTCTAGCAAACACAGTGTGTGCGTCTGGACCTTTGGCAGATGACAGGATGGGACACACACACAGAAGCCTACCCTCTGTGATGCTTTGGCCAATGGTACGTGTGCCGAGGGGCGTGATTCGTCTGTGTATATGCAGCCCATGAGCTCACTTCCAGTGAGGGAGGGAGGATATGAAAAATGCGCTAAGTCTGTGCAGTGGGCTCAAGGGAGATTTACAAAGGGGCGACGCTCTGGCACATGCTGAGACATGGGCGGGCCTTGAGAATGCCATGTAAGTGAACTGAGGCAGACTGCGAGGGCAAATGCTCTAGGACTCCACTTAGTTGAGATCCCCGGAGTTGTGAAACTCTTGTAGGGATGTCTAATCTGCGGCCCACAAGCTGTCTGCCTTTTTTTTTTGGTTGCATAATAGCAAATAAAGGGAAGTTTTGAGCAAAATGTGGTGGCTGAGGCAGGAGGATCTCAAGTTTTTGCCCAGCCCAGGCAGACTAGTGATGTAGCAAGACTCTGTCTCAAAATAAAAAGAGCTGCTGATTGTACCTCAGTGTGAAGGCCCTGGGCTGGTTCCCCAGTTCCGAAAACAAAAAGGAAGTTTTGTTACTCATGTAGATTAAATTCTTCTTCACTCCGTGTAGCCCAGGCAACCTTCAAGGCTAGACACGACTGCTGGAGTGAAGGCTACCAGGAAGAACGGGACTGCTGTTACGTGGGGCAGTTTCTATTGGGGATGATGAAAAGTTTGGGACACAGATGGTGGCAACAGGTAACAGCACTGTCAGTGTGCTGAATGATGCTGAACTGCACACTTACGGATGGCTAAAGGAGAAAAGGATGCTATGACTATTTTACCACATTTTAAAAAGCAGACAAGGCTGAGCCAGGCTGAGCTGCCTGTGGGGAGGGCACAGTGCAGAGGGGGAGCCAGGTCTGCAGCTGAAGGGACCAGGAAGGAGTGGGCCGTCCAAGGCATCGTGCTGTGTGCACATGGACAGGTTCGGAGGAAGAGCCATTCTAGGTGCTGGGGGAAATCACGCGAGGGGTGACGTAGCCCTAAGTGCAACGCTTCTGTGGAATGTGAGATTGCGACTGGTGGTGCAACCAAAACCCTGGTGGGGCTGAGGCTACGTGGAGGAGCTCACAGACATTTTGCAGAGGGGTGTGGGAGGGAGGGAGGGCGCCCGCAGGGCGGGGCGGGGCGGGGCGGGGCCAGCTCGCCACTGTGCCCAGACATGGTACCGGCTGCACCTCTGAAGGCAGCCGTGAGTGCCATGGCACCCAGGGAAGGGCTGCCGCTGGTCACCGTTCTGCTCACCTCCTCATTCTCTGACCAGCACATATGGCAATGTCTGCTGCCACCAGGCACCGGCCTCCCCAAGCCCAGCGGCAGTGGGGGACCAAGAGCGGGCACAAGAAGAAACACGTGACAGCTAAAGGGCTGGGCCGCAGAGCCAAGATCAGGGAGCAGAGGCTCCCCGCCCCGCTCTGTACGCAGACCAAACAAGGCCGGGCACTCTGGTAACTTTTACACACTCCACTTTCATTATTCTTCAACCGAGAGGCAAAACCTGCTGTCAATATATGCATAATTCATTTTAAGCAGTTAAAAACACAATTTTATGGCAGAACTTTCAAATGTACTAGAAAATAAACTGCTTTGAATGAAGGTGAAATATTGTGTTTTCACAAAAGGAAGAAAAAAATACACAAAACATTTAACTGCCCACAAAAGCCAATCTAAGAAAATCCAAGTGAATTCTAACAATAATGCACAAAAGACCCAATACTTTGCAACTGTCTTGGGCTAGAGGCTTTAGTTAACTGATAATTTGGGCCTACACTGTGCCATTATAACTTTGGCTTCTTCTTTTTTGCGGTACTGGGGCTTGAAATCAGGACCTTGAGTTTACAAGGCAGGCGTGTTGCCACGGAGCTAAATTCCCAGCCCAAGTCTTCCTTCTTTTTTGTTTCTAAAACAAGGACAACTGGCCCAAGACACAAAAATCACGAATAATTTACTACTTCCACAACTCACTTTAAAAACTGGCCTTTTCACTTAACATTTCTACCTTCTAGGGCAAAAATGCCAAATGAAGGAGCGGATTCAGAGAAATATTCCAATGAATAGGTCTGAAGACTACATTCAGCCTGTTGATAAAAATATGAAGGACTGCATTACTTTTCACTTAGCAATTGACTAAAGCTTTTTAATGACCTGGGACTGGAAAGGCACAATGGGAAGGGCTCTCCTGTTCTGAGGGGACAATGTACACTGCTAGTCTGGAAGGCATGTGGACAGTATCTAGATAGGGCCCTTGAAAACTCTTCTACTTTGATCTATTCTTTTTTTAACCTGACTTAAGGAGAGGTTCAAAGATGTGAACCACATATGAGCACTGTTTGTAACAGCTGAAAATCTGGATACCCACAGAATCAAGTAATAACGATTAGAAAATCATGCCTCTCATTCCCACTAATGTGAGGAACAGGACAAGTATGCCTGCTCTCACCACAACTATGTACAGTGGACCTTTGATTTATGAACTCAATTCGTTCTCAAGGGCTGCTTGTAACTTAAGTTGGTCAACGGAAGGCTCAGGTTCCTCTACACAGCCTTCATAGTCTCTCTCCTGTACACAGGCAGATCTCAGTGTCCTTAGAGAGAAATTGGCCCAGGATTTCTCAATTAACCCCACACAGGAAAGGATGTTATAATGTTACAATGTTTCTTCCACAACTCTTTAGGGGTTAAATCTGTATCTGAGACCATCTGGAAGCACAAATGGCATGTACTGGGTCATAACTCAAGACTTTGTAAGTTAAAACTAAAATTCATAACCCAAGTTGTTTGTATGTTGTAATTCAAGGGTCCACTGTAATATTTTGTTTGTTTTTTGTTTTTTTGTACCGGGGATTGAACTCAGGACCTTGAACTTGCAAGGCAGGCGGTGGAACCACTAAGCAAAATCCCCAGCCCCCACTGCAACATTTCATTAGTAACTCAAGAGAAAGACATGAGAGGTAAAAGAATTAGAAGCAGAGGTTAAACTAGCCAGGTGTGGTGGTGCACACTACTGTTGTCCCAGCACAGAGAGAGGAAGGCTGAGGCAGGAGGGTCACAAGTTTGAGTTCTGCCTGGCTGGGGAAGTAGACTGCCTGCTGGGTTCAACCCCCAGTACACAAAAAGGTGGGAGTTATCTTTATGGGTAAATGGTTTAATTAGGTACCCAAAAGAATCAACTGAAAAACTACTGGAAACTATGAAAATTTATTAAAGGCACATGATATGAAAGGAAGAGTAGAGAGAGAGACTTCAACGAAGAAGGAGGAGGAGGAGGAGGCAGGTGGCGTTTTCTCCTTGAGTCCTGGCTCATGGAGTGTGGGAAATGGCTGAGTTCAAGCTGAAAGGAGGCACACAGACAGATGCAGCTCAACAAATGTGGTTCCAGCCTCACAGGCAGAAACAAGCCTCAACTTCAGTGGAACTAAGCATGTAGGCTTGCTGGGATTATCCTCTACCTCCCTGCAAAGCTACAGGTGGGTTGGTTGGATTAATCAACTCAGATCTGGACTCTGTCTGCCCATGTTGCCTACTAGTGACAGCAGAGACATGCCTTGAAGTGGACATTTAAAAATTTTTCTTTTTTTTCTCTCTCTTCTGGTTTTTGTTTTTTCTCTTGATTGATTGTTTTTATTTTTATTTTTTTTGGTACCAGGGATCAAACTTGGGACCTTGTGCTTTTGAGGCAGGTGGTGGCACCACTGAGCTAAATCACTGGCCCATGTTCTTATTTTCATATGAGTGTGAGCATGGTTTCTAGTGTTTTTTTTTTTTTGGTTGTTGTTGTTATTCTGTTCTTATTTTTATTTCTTCCTTCTCTCTTTCCTTCCAAATAGGCAGCAACTTCTCATCCCCAATAGATTAAAGAGGTAGGATCTTGCAATAGACTCAAAACCCAAAAGCCAGCTATACCTGGAAGACATCTCTGAGAAGTAGTCATTTCCTAAGCAATAAAGCTACCTGTCAAGTATCAACCCAAGAATTAATCTAAAAACAATTAGAAAATGAGATGCAACCCCAGACTTCTAGCTCACCAAAGGCAAATCCAGGGGG